GTTTTTATCTAAGTCAACCAGCAGTCCATTCCATAGCTCACTACCTCAGCACATGGGCCTCTCTCTGTCTGCTGCTCTCAGTTCAGGTTGTTTCAGTGATTAGCTGACATGCTGATACCCATCTCAGACACAACTGTTTCATCTCACGCCTCCTTGCCAATGGCTTGCTCTGGGGGCTCAATTGCTCTCCTCCTGCCTCCGCTTTCTCCTTCCTCTGGCTGCCTCCTTCTCCTCCTTCCGTCTAATCTGTTTCGAGCAGGTCTGGAGAGAGCAAATTAGACCCGTGCTAAATTAAGCCACACAGCAGCATCGTGTCGTGTCGTAGTGTCGTGTGTGTGTAGTGTGTGTGTTGTGTTGTGTGTGTGTGTGTAGTGTGTGTGTGTGTGTGTGTGTGTGTGTGTGTGTGTGTGTGTGTGTGTGTGTGTGTGTGTGTGTGTGTGTGTGTGTGTGTGTGTGTGTGTGTGTGTGTGTGTGTGTGTGTGTGTGTGTGTGTGTGTGAGTGTGCGCGCGTACAAGGAGGTTTTTGCTCTTTATAAATTCATTGTTTGTCTAAATCTTAGAGCGATGGGTTATGTTATTTACCTGTGGTAATTGGTTTTCCCAAATGGCAGTTTTCCTCATTACACACACAGACAATCACATCGATGCCCACACAGACACCCAGTAATGAAGGGTAAGACAACGAGATGCCATTTCAGATATTAAACACACAAGCAGATACACACACCCACACAGACAATCCATTAGTGTGAGTGTGCGCGTGCGTGTGATTGTGTGTAGCAGCCGCGTTTTAATGACACAGGGATGCTTTTGGGGACGAAAAGTGCAGTGAGAACTAATCAAACACAGGCTCACCCATATTTTCACAAATACATCAATTAAGCAAGAAATCCTGATCTCTGTGCTCAAAATGATCTCAACTGAACATAACTGATCAAAATTGAAGAAATGTGTTTTTGTGTGAGGAATGGATGAGGAACCATCTGTTCCGTATCTCACTCTCTGAGGTGAAAATAAAACTGTCATTGTACATCGCACCTTCCTTATCTCCTTCATTTGTATTTCCACCTATTTATCTGCACTGTACTTACCTCTCTGGGATCCATGTTATCCTCTCCTTGTGTCTCCACACCTTGTTCCATGTTAACACGTGTAGCAGCAACCTATAGGTTAGAAAATACGGTTTTCAAAGTTCTGTTTTAGCCAAACACCTTCGGGAGAAATGGGGTAGCATGTTCAGTTAGTCCATGAGGAGCAAAACAGTCAGAGGACAATACTACATTTTCAGATGTTCTTTAGGATTGGCACCACTATATTAAAATGTTCTGGTGAAATACATAGCGAGTATACTAGGAAATGCAATGGAACATTTTTAAATGTGGACATCACTTAATTCTCTGTCCAGCTCTTCATGAGGATCTTTGCAAAATTAGCAACATTTTAAAATAAAATAATATTTTTTTAATGTATAAAAGCTTTTTCTAAAAGCCAATTTTGGGTAAGAAATATTCCCTTGTCCTTCTTCTTAAGGAAGTGTACCAGCTGGACCTTCGAAATATGCCAACAGTAGGGCTGCTCAATTAATCGTATTTTAATCGCAATTACGATTTTGGCTTGCAACGATTATGAAAACAACATAATCTAAATAAAACGATAATTTTTTTATTATTATTATTTATTTATTTTTGGTTTTTCTGTTGAATTATACTTAATGTTCAGGGTAATCAACTGTTAAAAACATAGTGTTCACATTTTTTTTTCAATAAGTGGATGTTTTCAAAGTAAATGGATAATCGTTTTTAATAATCGTGATATCAATTATTGACCCAAATAATCGAGATTATGATTTTTGCCATAATCGAGCAGCCCTAGCCAACAGCAGAGTCGTGTTGTCACCAGCATATGAGAGTCTTTAAATAAATTGCTTAGTTATCTTACAGGAGACATGTTAATGATTTACCACCTCTATATGTGAGAAATACACGAAATGTCTTGATTATTTAGGAAACTCAAAACAAAAACCATAAACATTAACCTATCTGACACAAAAAGAGGTTGCATCTTTAAAGTAAACAAAATAAAAAGACAGCTTAGCCACAACACAGCCACACATTGTATCACAGACATAAGGACTAATAAGCAATAACCAGCCGACACTGCTGGGCAACTCACCTCACATCAATCCAGTAGAATAGTTATAAATGCCTGATAAAGGCTGTAGCTTCGGCAGTTGATGAGGGAAATCCATACTATAGCTAGCTAAGCGTTAGTATAACACTTGCACACATCAGACAATCTGAACAGGCTTCACTTACATTAGCGCCAAAGTTGGCCTACACTGAAAAAAAGTGGAAAGTGGGGTTGTTCAATTTGCAAATATGCATTTAATATATGAAACATAATTTATTCATGTTTCTCGTCGAAACATGAATCAATCATGTAGCTATAGCTGAGAAAAGTTTTCTCAGAAAACTCCGAAACTGTCTGCAAAAGCTGCAGTTCAATATGAGATAGCGGCGGCGGCAACTCTCAATAACCGCAATTTATATAACTCTTAATTTCACTCTTTGCAGTGAGGGATAGCTAGCCAGGTAATCTTAGTTTTCACACGCCCATAGTGTAAAATGGTCCCGCCCCTAGACAATCAGTAACCCAGGACGATAGATCTTAACTGACCAATCAGAATCATGTTCAAACAACTTCAACAAACCAGCATGTTCGACTGCGTAATAAATAGTTAACTATCCACGCGTAGTCACGATATTGCATTACTGGAGAGGCAGGCCAGTATGCCCAATATCAGGACCCATCAGGACACTTGAAATGGCTCAACTAAATGGCAAGTAGTTAGTATTCATTAAATGATTACACCTGCACATTTCCTGCTATGAGGTGCTAAAATGTTTGCTGTGAAAAATGACTATACCAGGGCTCTGGAATATAAACATATAAATTATATGTTGACAACATGGTCTTAATCACACCTATCTTTGATGAGTTTTAAATGTTGAAGTGAAAGAAGAATACATGGGCCTAAGCCTGCGTCAAACAAAGAACCCGGTCGTTTAACAGTGTAATATCCCTTTCTTAATACACCCTTTTCATAGAGGACATAGTGGTTGGTCAAAGGAGAAACAGCATAGGTGTAAATTATCACAATAATTGATGGCTCCATTTCATAAAGTGTCCTAGCAAGCCATGTCAGAGAGGGATAATAAAAAATAATAGAGTTCTAAGACTGGCTCGCCTAAATGGAATGCAGCCATCGTTAATGTTTTTAATTTCACCTTTGCTTTTACTGCTTTGTCAAGTCAAAATGTCTGCTGTGAAAGCTGTCTACTGGGAATTGAGGCCTGCATCTGCCTTTGTAATTTTACAATTTAGTTAAAAAAAACATGAACCATTTTATGAGTCAGATTCCACCAAAAGAAGTGTTTTCACCCTGGCTCATACTAACCTTCCAGTGTGGCCATACAGAACAGGTATTCAAACTCTTTGTATCACATGGTTTATTTGGAACATACTGAGGTGTTGAAAATTATGAAGGTGGATGTTGTTGCGGCCTAACAGGTGCACCAAAACTAATAATAGTGTTGGAGACTTTTAACATGCACAGTATTTATGTATCGACA